AGTGTACTTGAAAAAAAAATCAGTCTACTTGATTTAAAGACTTATTATATAGCTTTGGTAATAAAAATTGTGTGGTATTAGGGAAGAGACAGACACATAGATAAATGTAAAAGAATAGAAAAACAAGAAATAGGCCCACTCTGTATGTCCAAATGATTTTTCACAAATGTAAAGAATCAATTTAATGACTGATTAAATCAATCAAATTAGGGAGTAATTTTTAGAAAAAATACTATGACAATAGTAAGCTACAAACAAATGGTACTGAAACAATTGGACACCCATAGGCAAAAAAATGAAGCTTGATGTAAACCTCACACCTTATGTAGAAACTGACTCAAAATGGATCAGGCATTAAATGTGAAACATAAAACTATAACATTTTTAGAATAAAAACTAGGAAAAACCTTTAGGATTGAGAGCTATGCAAAGAATTTTTAGACTTAAAACCAAAAGCACAATCCATAAAAGGAAACTGATAAACTGCACACTACCCAAACTTAAACTTTGCTCTTAGAAAGATGCTGATAAGAAGATGAAAACACAAGCTACATACTGGGAGAAAATACCTACAAACCACGTATCTGATAAATAACCAGTATCTAAGATATATAAAAAATGCTTACTATTCAACATTTAAAAAGTAAATAATTCATTGAAAACATGGGCAAAAGATACAGAGAGCTGTTTCACCAAAGAAGATATATAAATGGCAAATAATCATATAAAAATATGGTCTGCTTCATTAATTTAGGAAAATGCAACTAGACAATGATATAGCACTACACCTATATCAGGATGGTCAAAATAAAAAATAGTGACACCACCAACTATGGACAAAGATGTGGAAAAACTGATCACTCACACATTGTTGGTGGGAATGCAAAACGGTATAGACTGGGGGAAACAGTTTGTCACTTTTTTAAAAAATGAATTATGCAACTACCATATAATCCAAAAGCTGCATTTCTGGGCATTTAATGAGAAATGAAGACAAGTTTCACACAAAAACATGTAGACAATGTTTACAATGGTTTCATTTGTATGATCTAAAAACTAGAAATAACCCAGGTATTCAATGCATGAATGGTTAAACAAACTGTGTTACACCCAAAGCACAGAATACTGCTTAACAACGAAAAGGAATGAACTACTAATACACGCAACAACCTAGATGACTCTCCAGAGAATTATGCTGAGTGAAAAAATCCAAGCCCCAAAAGTTACATACCATATGATTCCATTTATGTAACATTCTTGAAGTGATAAAATTAGAGAAAGGAAGACTAGATTAGTGGTTGCTATGCATTAAGGGGGTGGGTGGGGATAGAAGGGAAGAAGACAGGGCTACAAAAGTGCAACATGATGTATCCTTGATGGAAATGTTCCATATCTTGCCTGATTCAATGTCAACATCCTGCTTGTGATGTTATACAATAATTTTACAAGAGGTTATAATTGGGCAGACAAGGTAAATGATACTTTGTATTATTTCTTACAATTGCATGTGAATCTATAATTATCTCAAAATCAAAATTTAATTTACAAAATTATTTGATTGTAGCCTATACACGTAGCTGAGGAAATACAAATGTAAATAAGATGGTCCCTGCACTTGAAACTATAGCTTAAAATGGTGGTAAACATATATACATAAATAACTAACTTTTAAGGCAAAAAATTTATGTCAGGAGTATTTTAAAATACAGTTAGACTTAGCCTGACCACTTCACAACCACTAGGATAGCTATTATCAAGAACAGGGAAAGAAAAAGCTAAAATATAATAAATGTTGGCAAGGATATAGAGAAACTGGAACCTGTGTGTGCTGTTGTTGGGAATGTAAAATGATACAGTCATTGTAGAAAACAGTACAAAATTCCCTCAAAAAATTAAAAATAGAATTGCCATATGATCCAGAAATCCAGCTTCTGCGTATAAATCCAAAAGAACTGAAAGGCCTTGAAGAGCTATTTGTAAACTCATTCATAGCAGCATTATTCACAATAGCTAAAACATGGAATCAACCCAAGCGTCTATGATGAATAAATTTTTTAAAATGTAGTATATTGAGGAATTAACTGAGGATTTTGGAGGGGTGAGAGGTTGGGTGAGCTTGGTGGTGAGTATTGTGGAGGGCACATACTGCATGGAGCACTGGGTGTGGTGCATAAACAATGAATTCTGGAACAATGAAAAGAAATTTAAAAAATAAATAAAAATTAAAAAAAAAGAAAAAATGTAGTATATTCATACAATGGAATATTATTCAGCCTTAAAAAGATAGAAATTCTGTAATACAACACTGATAAACCTTGAGGACATCACGCTAAGTGTAAAAAGCAGTCACAAAAGACAAATACTATATAAATCCACTTACATGAGATACTTAGAGTAGTAAAAACCATAAAGAGAGAAAGTATAATGATGGTTTCCAGGGGCTGGGGAAAGGGGAAAATAAGGAGTTATTGTTTAATAGATATAGTTTCAGATTTACAAGATGAAATGAGTTATGATGGTGAAGGCTGCACAACAATGTGAATATATTTAATACCAATGAACTGTACACTTAAAAATGGTTAAAATAGAAAAGGTTATGCAATATGTATTTTAAAATAAAAGAAAAAATAGAAAAAAATACTTTGAGAGTAGTAAGCTACAAAACTTGAAGTAAACATCCTTAATGGTTAAAAATTCATATAAATCACTTTCAAGTTTATATATTGTACTTCTACGGGTAATGAATTTAAGGCTTAAAGAAAACTACTGGTACCACTACTGGTATATACCCTACTCGGTCATGGTGTATTATTATCTTAATAAGCTTTGAGATATTTTTGGCATTTCATCTTAATATTGTTTCATTTGCAATGACATGTATTACTTTTCCAATTTGAAAACAGCAAGTAAAAAAATATTTTTAAAGAAAAAATTGATTTTTTGAATTTTTACAGTGAAAATATATTCATGAGTTACTTCCATCATTAAAAAATTCTTGTTAAAATAAGAAAAATAATTTAAAGGAAGACTCAGAAAATCCTTGCATATACCACTTCATTAATAAAATATTAACAGTGGATTCTTATAGAAATCAACAGACTCATGATTCTTAAATGCATCATATCCTCCTAGCGAATAGTAGACTAACAAAATTTAAAAACTGGAAATGTAAAGACCAAAATTTGTTGACTTTTTAAAAAGTTTTAAAATTCCAGTTAGTTAACATTCAGTGTAATATTAGTTTCAGGTGAATGGGATAGTGATTCAACATTTCCATACAACACCCAGGGCTCATCACAATAAGTGCACTCTTCAATCCCCATTATCTATTTAACCCATCCCCTCACTACCTCCCTTCTGGTAACCATCAGTTTGTTCTCTACAGTTAAGAGTCTGTTTCTTAGTTTGCCTTTTTCTTTTTTTTTTTTCCCTTTGCTCATCTGTTTTGTTTCTTAAATTCCACATATGAGTGAAATCATATTGTATTTGTCTTTCTCTGACTTATTTTACTTAGCATAATGCTCTCTAGCTCTATACATGTCATTGCAAATGGCAAAATTCCATTCTTTTTTTATGGCTGAGTAATATCCCATTGTATATATATTCCACATCTTTATCCATTCATCCATTGGAGGACACTTGGGCTGTTGCCATGATTTGGCTGAGACACATATGGGGGTGCATATATCCCTTTGATTTTTTTTATTATTTGGGTAAATTCAATTACCCTGTGCAACTTGTATACATATTCCTTTAGAATCCAGGCTCCAGTGATCTCTCCAAATACAACTCTAGCCACTTTCACCTGTGCATGCCATTGTAAATCACGTACTATTCACTCGAGAATTCATTTATAACTCCATACCATCGTCTATGTTGTTCTCTCTGAATAGGATGCCTCCTCTCTTTTGAGCTCAGTAGTACATCCTTGTGAAGTTCTCCCTGACACACATAGACTGATAAGGAATTCCCTCTCTCAAACCTTGAATATTTTTTATTAGTATAACATTCATACCAAACAATTTGTATCTCAATACTGGGAGGTCCTCAAGAGCAAGGACCTTTTTCTTTTTCTCTTTTTCTTTTTTTTCCCTTTCCTTTCCTTTATTCTTTCCCTTCCCTTTTCCTTTCCCTTCCTTTCTTTTCTTCTTTCTTTCTTCCTTTCTTTCTCTCTTCTATTTTTTTTGAGTATATATGACACATGATGTTACATTAGCTTCAAGTGTATAATATAGTGGTTCATCAACTCTATTATGTTAGACTATGATTAGTAGCTACCACCTGTCATCATGCTATCCTATTACAATACCACTAACTACATTCCCTATGCTATACTTTTTATCACCATGACTTATTTATTCCATTGCTGGAAGCCTGTATCTCTCACTCTCCTTCACCCATTTTGCCCACGCCCACTCCCAACCCTTCCCTTCTGGCAACCATCACTTTGTTCTCTGTATTTATGGGTTGGATTATTCATTTGTTTTATTTTATAGATTCTACATATAAGTGAAATCATTTGGTATTTGTCTTTTTCTGATATATTTCACTTAGCATAATATCCACTGGGTCCTACCCTGTTTTGAACATTATGTTCACAGTGGCAAGCACAATGTCAGTATATACAATCAAATGAATTATAGCTTAAAAGAACCCACCCAGTTAAATAAATTTAGCCTAAAAGAATACCATTAAAGTTATAATTTAGCTGAATAAACCCCAACTTCACAGTTCTTTGCTGATTGCTATGTTAATGTGTTTTATAATTCTTCTGGCTAAAAGTAAACGTTACATACTTAAAGAAAAAGTTTCTGTTACTTTCTTTAATTGTTGTAATACAGCTGTCAACAATTTATATTCTGGACTTTAGAAATAAAATCTAAAGTTTATAGACATGGTTTGTGTAATATTTTATAAGAAAGAGTTTGATTTTCTAAAATTGTAGTAACTTTATAATAACAATAGTATTTCAAAAAACCATTTAAAAATGTATTACATACCATTTCTATTTCTTGATCTTTGGCAACCAGCTGTCGATTAAGAAGTTCTTTGCTTGAGTCAAGTTTAATACAAAGTTCCCTTGTGGAAGATAAATCTGCAAGGGCAGACACTTTTTCAAACTGAACCTTCTGAAGTTCCTCTTCCATCTTTACAACAGATTTGTGTAAGGTAGAAATCTGGGACTTATAAGACCTTTCTGCATTTAAGTGCTGCAAGGACAAAATTATTATTTTATATATCTACATACATATATATACATTTTTTTAATTTGAAAAAACTAAAACGTGGAAAAGTAGGGAAAATCTTTGATGGTACACTTTGATTATAAGGAACTTTATATAATATAGGTGGTAATAGTATATACAAAAACACCCTGGGAAAGACAAATTTGACTTTCAAATGTCTGTGTATAAAATCCATGAGCAAGCTGGTCAACTGGTCATTATTTTAATGTGTTTAGTAAACAACTTCCACCCTCATAAAAGTCTCAACCTGAAAGTTAGTTGAGATACATACATGTTTGGTCTGCAGTTCTATTTTTACCACAGTTTCAATTATTCTATAAGATAAACATTATTGTTGTTAAAGATAAAACGTTAGCCAACACTGTTTCACTCACAATACCCATTTTCCAAATCTTAAATGGCATGTTCACCTAAATCAAAATATCATAAAATGAGGACTGATATCTCTCTGGTACTTACTAATAACTCTAAGGGAAAAAGACTCTAGACTAGAATAAATTAAGGATTAATCCACATTATGGGAAATAAGAGCATGTTTTAAAAATTGCACGATAAGATTCAAGTTACATAAATGCTTTTAAAAGTTCAGGATAATACCACCCTATTTTTTGTTTCAGAGAAATATCTTACATAAGTACACTGCCACCTACAGAGAAGTTTTTGCTATTATGTGAAGCTGACAGAACTGAGAGACAAAGAAATTTTCCTGCTTTTAAGAGTACAAAACACAAAAAAAATTGCTCCTAGAAGTTACTTGGCCACAATTCTGCCCCCTTTCCTTCCTCACTCATTCTTCAAACAACCTTCTATCCATCTACCCACCCATCCATCTATCCGTCCATTTCATATTTTTTAGTATATTCTATGTTCCAGCCGATGTGCTTAGATGCATATCCAGTAATAACCAAAATAGTCTCTGTTCTCATGACACTTCCAGACTATGAGGGAGCCATACATCAGTCAAATAATCACACAAATGACTATATAAATACACATTAACCAAATACTTCTAGAGAAAAAAAGTATATAACAAAGTAAAGTGATCCAGACTAAGAGGGTCAGAGAAGTCAGGAAAGCCTTCTCCAAGTAAATGACACATGAGTTGAGATCTGAATGGTGTGTAGATAGATATACAGTGTGGGTTGGGGAAGGTGGTTTTTCAAACTGAAGGAATGCTAAATTCAAAGACCCCAGAGGGAATGTGTTGAGGGAGGGAAAATGACGTGCTCCAAAAACAAGGAGAAAACTTGTTTGGCTAGAACTCAAGAGACCACAGAGAAGAGTGATAGCATATGCATTTGAAAAGGTATTAAAAAACTCACAAGACAGAGCCTGATAAGCTGGGTTAAAATTTAGGTCTTTATCTATGAAAAAAAGAGGGAGGTAATAGGATCAGTTTTGTGCCTTGAAAAGATAATACTGGATATTTCAGGTTCTAGTGAGATAGCTGATTAATCTAAGAGGAAAACCTTTTGGTAAAATAGAAAACAAAATTTTATAATTCACAGCTGAGCTTGCAGGAAAGAAAAATAAATTTTCATATTTGCCAAAGACAAAGATAAAACAAATTCAGAACAGGAAGAAATTGAGAAGGCCTGAAGCTAAAAGTTGGGAGTAGGAAGACCCAGTGACAGTGAAAGGCTTGTGTTTAAACACTGAATCAAGGACAGGAGAAAAGAAGTTAGGACTACTGGATAATTGGAACTAGGTCCAATTCATAATCTGGAACACTTGAAAAGAGGTTCCAGAGGAAAAATCCACTCACCCTCACAGAGATACAACTGAAAGTTTATCTTCTCCTACTCTCTAAGTAGGGAAAAAAATGTATTCTGTAAGAAACCTTAGGTCTAACTTCATTCAGTTTTGGAGTCTGACTGCACAGTACTGACTACCAATTCTAAACTTTAACATAAAGTTTGTCCCATCCCAATGATAACACAGAATCCCTTTGTAGAAGCAAACCCATATTCCTGGCCATGAAAGATTCTGCAGGAAAGTTCTCCTTTAAAGGAGCTTACAAACTTGGGGTGACTTAATCCACCATGAGTGAGAGTGGGAGCAACATAACACATAGCAGGAACAGAACTCTAGAACTTCAAGTTATTAAACAAGATATTTTAGAAGACATGAAAAATATGCTTATAAGTATTAAGGACATTAAAGAAGAAACTGCAAAGAATGAGACTTAGGACAAAACAGGAAAATTTGAAGAAGAGCCAATAGAACTTCTGGAAAGAAGAGAAAAGCAGTCAAGAAAATGAAAAATATAATGAATGCATCAACAAACAGACTAGTACAGCTGAAGAGGGAAGAAGGAACTAGAAGAGAGATCACAGCACAGAGAGATAAACATATGGAAACTATAATAAAAATATTAACAAGCATTTAGACTAGGAGATCCAACAAGCATATTATAAAAGTTGAGAGAAACAGTAGAGTGAATTTAAAGGTGGTAATATTCAAATAAATAATATTTGAAAATTTCCAGACCTACCAAAAGTATTAATACTCTGATAAATGGCAAAACCAAAACCCCTCCTTTTGATAAACCCCAAAACAATACCTAGACATATATAGTCAAACTACAAAGAGAAAAAGAAGACCGTAAAAGAAAACAATGGCAAAAGAAGACTTAAAAAGAAAAACAATTAGAATGAGAACAGACTTCTCAATAAATTTTTTTTTAAGTTATGAAAGGAAAATAACCCACAACCCAGAATTCTATACTCAGCTAAACTAATACTCAAGAATAAGGGTAAAATAAATTGATTTTCAGGCAAAGACTGAGAAAATTAACTCATAAATCAAAGAAAGGAAGTAGTCTCAAGAAAGAAATTAAATGTAGAAGTAAGAAATAGAATGCAAGGGGCACCTGGGTGGCTCAGTGGGTTGAGCCTCTGCCTTCGGCTCAGGTCATGATCTCAGGGTCCTGGGATCGAGCCCCGCATCAGGCTCTGTGCTCAGCATGGAGCCTGCTTCCTCCTCTCTCTCTGCCTGCCTCTCTGCCTACTTGTGATCTCTGTCTGTCAAATAAATAAATAAAATTTAAAAATTTAAAAAAAAAATAGAATGCAAGAAGCAATGTTGAAAAATTTTGTAGACAAATAAGTGGATACAAATAAGCATTGACTGAAAGAATAAGAACAGGAGTAGTGATTTATTTTTAATGCTATAAAAAGCCAATGTGAATATAAGAGTATGCAATTATATTATAACAGATTGGGGTTGTGTAAGGGGGGAGGTAGAGAATAAGAAAACACATTCATTAGTAAGCAGGATATTGTGTTCAATATTCAAATATTCTTAGGACCACATATTTTTTAGGAGGAGAGTTGGAAATACTAATAATAGACTTTTTAAAATATGCATATTACAGATTTAACTTTTAAAAGACTAGGTTGAAAATGTATAACTTCCAAACCAATAAGTAGCCGAGGTAGAAAGTGGGTAAAGAAACAAATATATAAAAGATAAAGGAAAGAAAGATAAAAGAATCAGGAAAAGAATAAAGTATAAATACAAAAAATGGAAATAATAAACATAAATGAGTCAGCAATTCAAACACAAATGGTAAACTTACTAGTTAATAGAAAGATATTCTAAGAATTTTTTTAAAATTAGAATATGTGATGTTTATTAGAGACAGCTGAAAAGGATTAAGAAAAGATATATTATACTTCTGTTTCCAGCCTTGATAGAAAAACTGAGACTGAACTTATCCTCCCACTGTTAACAAGTGTAAAACTAGGAAGGAAGGAAAGAAGGGAAAGGAAAAGAAAGGAAAGGAAATAGGAAGAAGGAAAGGTGGGGGGATTGCGTCTAGATATTGAACAATAGGCACCATAGGGTTGTGATCTCTGAGAGAAGGAAAACAAACAAGATGAGCACTATGATCATTCCAGCTTTCTGTCAGGAGACGATTTTCCAGTCTTCAGAGAAAGAAACTTCAGTCAGAGCACAGTTGATTTGTTGATTTGCAGAGGAGACAGAAATAAGCACCTGAAATATGTGGGATAGGGTTCCAGAAATGAAGGGTCTACACACACAAAAAAAGACAACCAGAAATTTGCCTAGGAGTCTCCTTGAGTCTGTTGCTGAATACTAAGCCATGAATATGTATTGTGAAACTCCAAAAGGCTAGGAAAGAAAACCAGAGAGCTCTAAAATAACCAAAACCACAGCTGATACACAGTTGGAAAAATCCTATGTTCGAACCTGCCAAAGTAGAGTCCTTAATGAACACCCCAGGTTGGGCATTTAATAGAGAACACAGAAAGGTCACACCATAGTGGTAAGATTAAAATAGTATTACAGAAAAGGCTACTTTAAGCCTGCCCCATCAAAGTTTAAAGACAATCACAAAAGTATCAGTTTATTTGCAAGTAATTTAACAACCTGCCAGAACAAATACAACACTCTTAAAAGGAAGGCACAAAGTCTAAAATTCAACAAAGTAAAATTCCCAGTCTCCAGAACCCAATTGAAAAAATACCAGACAGGGGCATCTGGGTGGCTCAGTGGGTTAAGCGTCTGCCTTCAACTCAGGTTGTGATATCTTGGTCCTGAGATCGAGCCCTGCATTGGGCTCCCTGCTCAGCGGGGTGTCTGCTTCTCTCTCCCTTTGCCCCTCCCACCACCCCACCCTTGCTCATGGCTCATGCTCTCTCTCAAATAAATAAACAAAATATTTAAAAAAGAAATACCAGATATGTAGGGGTGCCTGGGTGGCTCAGTGGGTTAAAGCCTCTGTCTTCAGCTCGGGTCATAATCCCAGGGTCCTGGGATTGAGCCCTGCATTGGGCTCTCTGCTCAGAAGGAGCCTGCTTCCCCATCTCTCTCTCTGCCTGCCTCTCTGCCTACTTGTGATCTGTTAAATAAATAAATAAATAAAATCTTTAAAAAAATTACCAGATATGTAAAGATGTAGAAATGTAACCTATAGCAGGACAAAAATTAGTCAATAT